TTCGGATTCTTCCAGTGGAAGTCGGCTATGAGGGCCGGCGCATTGGCAACGTTGCGCGCCGGTTCCCATGACGTGTGTGAGTCGTCATAACCCTTCCACTTGATGAGGTACTGCAGCTGACGCCGGAAGATCCTCAAATCCTTGATCTGCTCAACCTCGTACTCCTCGTCGCCCTCAACCTCGATCGTAGGTGGCTCCTCTGGCTCCCAGCCCGGAATTTTGCTACGCATGTACTTGCTAAGCAAGGAGACATGGAACACCAGGTGCACTGGCACCGACTTCGGCAGAACCAATTTGTAATCCAAGTCTCCGAGCTTTTGCCACACGGCATAAGGTCCGAGGCGCTTGGGACTGAGCTTCTTGCTCGGCTGTTTCAGCTTAAGGTTCCGGGCATCAAGCCAGACCTTGTCCCCCGGCACAAAGACCGGTGCCTCCTGCACGTGCTTGTCGTAGTACACCTTCATGTGCTCAGCTGATAGCTTGAGCGCAGAGTGCGTGTCATCACGAATCTCCTTCAGGATCTTGAGCCGATGATAGGCGCCAAGCCCCTCTGGGCCCCGATTCACCTCTTTTCGGCAGTCGCATCCCGCCCGGCACTTCGACTCAGTCTCCCACCACTTCGATTTCGCCTTCGACGCTCTTCGACACCTTCGACGGTGCGCGATGCTTACTCAAAGCTCGGCACGGTCGTCCCGACGCCTCGCGCGTAGATCTCGGAACATCTTTCGCATTCGGCGAACAATAGGGCCACTTGACGCCACTCGTCCAAGCGTGTGCATCGCTCCATGCCACACCGACATAGCCGGTCTTTCCCGATTAGGTATTGAACCTCGCGACATGCCTTCAACGACGGACACCGGTCCGAAGTGTCTCGCATGTTTCTCTTCATCTCCGCGTTCGGCATGACGTCACTCTACCGATGGACTTGGTGTGTGCCCCTCGGTGAGGCAGCTTCTTGAGGAACAATGCAAGGCCCCTTGTACCAGTGTGCCACTCTCGAATAGTCGTAGCATCCTGTGTAGTATAAAATCTGTCGTACTTCTCTCTAAAAATACAAGATCCGGTTCCCCCCTCGAGTTCAGAGCTCATAAGTCAAGTTTGCCCCACATCTAAGCCTTAACTGCGTCACTTTGTCCCTCGCTGCGTAACATCGAAACCTCGTCTACTGCGTTTACTCGTCGATACCGTCTCGACAAACCCTTCGACTTCGACTATTGTCGAAGAAACTGTGAACTGCGCCCTAGCTAAGTCCACCCTTCGAGTCGTGTCCCTTCCTTCTACGATACATAGAAGAGCTCTGCCGAGCTTCAATCATCTCTGCTAACCACCCACAGCCTCCGAATAGCTTCGACGACATGTCGAAGCCACCTCATACCTTCCCCATCGTTCGTAGCCTTTTCCAAGGGCGTTTCTCGTGTTCACTCGAACCGCGGGACACCTTGCTGCTAACTCCCCTCTCATTAGACTATAATCCGTCTCTCTAGTCCCTTTAGGTCGCACCCAGGTTAGGGGTTAGGGTTTCGTAGGTTGTATCATTTCTGGAGCCCACCGCGAGGGGGTCTCAGGCAAGAATTCGCCGCTTTCAGGTTTCCGAAAACGTCTCCAGTAGTCACCCGCTCGCAAGCGCGTGAGGCTGCTAGCCGCAGCGCCGCCAAAAACCTCGACAGCTCCTCTAGAACGCAATCGACTCCCTCTCCAACCATTCCCGGTAACTTCGACCGCGACGAAGAAGACAAGATAGACCAAAAACTCCAGGACGACTTCAACGAAGAACCGATCCCTTCAACTGCTGAAGAACACACTTCGTCCCCCGAGCTTCTAGGCCTCACTACTTCCGACTACGACATTTCGACTCCTGATCTTTTCGAATGATCCAGTTCTTTGCCCGAACCCGAGGATCCCATCCCATCTACTTCGAATCTCAAACTCCCGACTCCGTCTTCTTTTCGCGCCCACGCTCAGCCGCCCATTGCATCCTCTTTGTGACTCTCAGTCATACCTACACCCGGCCTGGCACCTCCGCCACCCTTGGCACCTTCAAACGCAGCTTCAAACTCCAACCCCGCACCGCCCGCACCTACGATTCCTTCAACTACTACCTCGTCCTCTTCGAGCCCAGCTCCTACCAACACTACAAACATGAGTCAGAACACGAACACACCATTGATGCCCCCGCACAGTCATTCGACAGCACCAAGTTTCGACCCATCGGAAGTCCATTCACTTTGGCGTTACTTCCAGGACCTCGAAGCATTGTTCACCCGGTGTCAGATTACCGATGAAGCAGCCAAGAAACAGTGGGCCGTTCGGTACCCTTCGATCGACGTCGCCGACTTATGGGAAACCATCGAGTCCTTCATCGACGTAGCCAAGAGCTACAACGACTGGAAAGCTGACATACGAGCACTCTATCCTGGCGCCGACGATACAAGAAAATGGTCGCTGGCGGACATGGATCAGCTCATCGGAGAACGCGCTTGTATCGGGATTCACAACGTGGCAGACCTAGGCTGCTATTACCGCGACTTCATGGCCATTATGAAACATCTCATCGCACAGCACCGGCTCTCCACTATCAAACAAAGTTGCACATTTCTTTGAGGGTTCCAGCCAGCGTTGCTCACACGGCTCGAGACCCAACTGCATCTCAAGCATCCCGATCACTATGCTGACGACCCGTACACCATGGCAGAGATTCACGCAGTGGCTATGTTCATCTTACACGGTACATCGAGCACACCTACGACAGCGGCTAACCAGGCTATCGCGTCGACATCGAACACCTTGACAACGGCGCCCCCTGGGATGATCAAAACCGAAGACATCTCGATGATCATCGAAAGCCTGTTGAGGACGATCGCGACGCTTATTCAGCCGACGACACACGCTATGCACAACCATGCCCCCGCACCGAGACAACAAGCTGCCGTCCACATCCACGAGAACAGCGGAGTTGAACAGACGTGCCACTACTGCGGCAATCGTGGCTGCAGGGTAGGCACCTGCGAGTTTGCGGAGATCGACATTCAGGACGGCAAGTGCAAACGGAATACTGACGGCAAGATCGTTCTTCCAAACGGAAGTTTCTGCCCCCGCACTATCCCTGGTCTCACAATACGAGATTGAATCTACGAGTGGCATAGGAGAAATCCCGCAGCACCAGCCGCTCCGACGATGCTCTTCGAGATCGACGATCGCTCGACTATGCAAACCTTCACGCTCAACACCAGCAGCAGGATCGAGGTGCTCGAGCGAGAACTCCTTCAGCTTCGGAAGCGAAGGGAGGTCTTCGACGGCGTCGAGATTCTACAGCGGAAGAAGCCCACGACGCCAGTCGTCATGAGAAGCGCGGAAGCCTCTGGCTCTGGTACATCAAAAGGAGTGGCGGCACCCTCGAGCACTTCGACAAGCACGGCCCCGCCTCCAACGATACCAGCAGCATCGCCTTCGCCGCCTACGCAATCCACGTCTCAACCTATCGCTACATCCGCTCCCCCAGCACCACCAGTACACCCCTTCGCAAACGCTCGCGACGCAACCTACGCCCCGCCGAACGTTCGAAACTTCGCAACTCCGCTGAAGCCCTCGAACGACAAGGGCAAGGAACCAGCGTACAAGACCATCGTCCCCGTTATCCAGCCAAAGCTCGCCAAGGAGATCTTCCAGCGTTCGATGAAGTCGCCGTTCGTCACGCTAACCCCAGAAGAGTTGCTGTCGATCGCGCCCGACATTCAAACCAAGTACCGCGACGCCATCACCCCTAAGCGAGTCTCGACGGAACCCGTCGCGTCGGCCCACATCGTAGAAATCGGCGCCGACGAGGTCACGGCCGTCAACCAGCTCTCGTGTTCAGGAGCAACGTTGGAACCCGGTGCTACAATCGTCCCCGACCCCTATGAAACATACCTCAAGCACATCCCTCACGGCGAGCACCCCGCAGAATTCACCGTCGCACACGATTCGAACGCGATTCGTTCGATCATCGCATTGATTGAGAACAAAGAGCAGATCGAATGCATCGTCGACCCAGGATCGCAGATCGTCGCCATGTCGGAAGAGGTCTGTCTGGGCCTCAACCTCCTGTTCGATCCTACAATCCAGCTGAACATGCAATCGGCAAACGGCGAGGTGGACCAATCGTTAGGACTCATTCGAAATGTTCCCTTCCGCATCGGTGAGATCATATTGTACCTCCAGGCTCACGTCATTCAAAACGCAGCGTACGACATCCTCCTCGGCCGACCCTTCGACGTGCTCACGCAGAGCGTCGTCAAGAACTTCGCCGACGAGAACCAGACCATTACGATCCTCTGTCCGAACACCGGCGAAACCATCACGATTCCGATGTACGCGCGAGGAAGATCGCGAAGCCGGCAGCATCCTCTCGGGTGTTGCAAATCGCATTTTCTCGCTTCGAGGAATTGATTCCCCATGATCAAGGAGAAGCCGCGCTAGTCATCGACTACGATGGGGTAACACCAAGTATTTCCTTCGTCTCTCCGATTGATTCCTCGACTCCGAACGCTGTTTCGTCACTGTACCTCTCCGCATGCACCTCCGTTTCTTCATATTTAGAGTCTCTTTACGCTTCGGACAATACAGCTTCTAATGCCGCCCCGTCGAACGCTTCAACATGGGCTTCGACTCTTCTATTTTCAGCTTCGTTCGCTTCGACTCCGCCAGCTCCCGTCCCGACGAAGTCCATCTCGCAGCTTTCCAACTCAATTCTTCCCTTTCCTTCGACGACATCGACTTCTACCCCTTCAACGCACAAGATCCTCGCCGCGACAAAGAAGAAATACAAGCCTGTCGCTCTCAAAACCCGACCCGTCCTTGGTGCCATCCCCGAACAATTTCGAATACTTCGAGACATCAAGGGCGACCCTCTCTCCATCATGCCTAAGCTTTCGACCGACCCCCCGCCGTTCAAACCTACCGGTCGGTACACCCTCGAACGCTTCGAAATGACCGAAAAGCTTCACGACGGCGACTTCCTACTTCCCGAAGAACGTCGAGTCCTCCACCACTTCATGTGCCTGCACAACGAAGCCTTTGCCTGGACCAACAACGAGCGCGGATGCTTCAAGCCCGAGTACTTCCCCCCCATTGATTTCCCCGTTGTCCCTCACACGCCCTGGGTGCAGAAGAATATCCCCATTCCACCCGGGATCTACAACGAAGTCTGCGCGGTGATCAAGCGAAAGATCGCCGCCGGAGTCTACGAGCCATTGAACTCGTCGTATCGATCGCGGTGGTTCTGTGTCGTCAAGAAGGACGGTAAATCCCTTCGACTAGTCCATTCCCTCGAGCCCCTCAATGCAGTTACGATTCAACATTCCGGTGTACCGCCGATGCCCGAATACCTCGCAAAACAATTCGGAGGAAGACCATGCGGCGGCATGCTTGACCTCTACGTCGGCTACAACGAACGACTCATCGCCGAGTCTTCGAGAGATCTAACGATGTTCCAGACACCCTACGGAGCCATGCGCTTGGTAACACTCCCGATGGGTTGGACGAACTCAGTCCCGATCTTCCACGACAACGTCACCTACATCCTCCAGCCCGAGATCCCGCACATTACGGTGCCCTACGTCGACGATGTTCCCATCAAGGGTCCCGAATCCGACTACGATGATGAACGACTCCCTGCGAACCGCGGCATTCGACGCTTCGTATGGGAGCATTCCGAGAACATGAACCGCGTGGTCACTCGAATGCGCTACGCCGGAGGTACCTTCTCAGGAGTCAAGAGCGTCCTCATCGCTCGAGAAATCATGGTGGTAGAACATCGCTGCACTCCTCAAGGACGCCTCCCCGACGACTCTCGCGTCGCAGCGATACGCAACTGGGGTCCCTGCGCTACTCTATCCGACGTTCGAGCGTTCCTTGGAACCATCGGCGTCGTTCGAATCTTCATCCGTAATTTCGCTCACCGCACCGACGCGCTCGTACGCCTCACGAGGAAGGACATCGAGTTCGAGTTTGGTCCGGAGCAAATCGCGGCGCAGGAAGACCTCAAGGACGCACTGCTCTCATCCCCCGCACTCCGAGCCATCCATTATGATTCCCCCTCTCCTGTCATTCTCGCAGTCGACACGTCGTTCATCGCCGTTGGATATCACCTCTGTCAGTGCGACGAAGCCAACATCCGTTACTACAGCAGGTTCGGCTCGATCACACTCAACGATCGCGAACGGAGGTTTTCACAGCCAAAGCTCGAGATCTACGGTCTATTCCGCGCGCTACGATCCCTTTGACTCTACCTGATCGGCGTTTGGAACCTCATCATCGAAGTCGATGCTCGGTACATCAAGGGTATGCTGAAGAATCCGGACATCGCCCCAAGCGCGAGTATTAACCGGTGGATTGTCTCGATTCTCACATTCCATTTCACGCTCGTCCACGTCCCCGGTACAATGCATGGCCCCAACGGCCTCTCTCGACGCACAGCTCAGCCCGGTGATGTCATCGAAGACGAGGTCGACAAAGAGTTCGACGATTGGATCGACCAGATGCATTCTTTCGTTCACCAGGTTCAGCCCCGCCCGTCCGTCCAGATGCATGCCATCTTCACCAATGACAGAGCCGAGGATGGCTCAGATTTCAATAGGGAGGAGGATAGCTACGAGCTAGTGCCTCGATCGGAGCAAGCACAACTCGCAGATGCAAAGCTCGACGATGTGCTCGAATTTCATCAAACGTTAGCAAAGCCCGACGGCATCTCCGAAAGCGTTTACGAAGGATTCATCAAGTACTGCATGCAATTCTTCCTCGACAACGACACCCTCTGGCGCAAGGACAGTCACGGAGCACACAAGCTAGTCGTCAAGCCCGGCGATCGCCTTCGAATACTTCAAGAATGCCACGACCGCACCGTGCATCGAGGAATCTATGCAACCCGAGCCTTCGTCAATGAGCGATTCTGGTGGCCGTTCCACTACACCGACATCGCCTGGTTTGTTCGATCGTGCCATATCTGCCAGTCTCGACAAGTGCGTCAAATCCTCATTCCTCCGACCGTCGCAGTACCAGCCCCCATCTTCGCGAAAATTCACATCGACACAATGCACATGCCAGCTTCGGGCGGATACAAGTACTTGGTCCAAGGTAGATGCTCGCTCACGACTTACCCCGAGTTTTGAATGCTTTGAAAAGAGACAGCAAAGGCCCTCGCTGACTGGATTTTTGAAGACATCCTCTGTCGATGGGGCGCGCTCAGTGAGATCGTCACCGACAACGGTACGGCGTTCATCAAGGCGGCCGATTACCTTTCGAAGAAGTACCACATCAACCATATTCGAATCAGTGGGTACAATTCGAGGGCAAACGGTCTCGTCGAACGTCCGCACTTCAGCACGCGACAAGCCTTGTTTAAGACAGCCGACGGAGATGAGAAGAAATGGTCCCAAGCTGCGTACTTTGTATTTTGGTCCGAGCGCATCACGACTCGACGACGCATGGGCTGCTCACCCTATTTCGCTGTTACGGGCACCCATCCGCTCATTCCTCTCGACATCGTCGAAGCCACGTATCTGCAACCACCACCGACTTCGGTCCTTTCGACGACCGATCTCATCGCCCGTAGAGCCATTGCGCTCCAGAAACGCGTTGAGCAAGTCACCGAACTCCACTCAAAGGTCTATGAAGCACGTCGAACGGCAGCAATTCGCTTCAAGAAAGAGCACGAGCACTCGATCCAGGATTTCGACTTCAAGCACGGAGCCCTAGTGCTCATACGCAACACGAAGATCGAGAAGTCCCTCAACCGCAAGATGCGCCCGCGATATCTAGGCCCCCTCATCGTTGTCTTGCGCAACAAGGGCGGCGCGTACATCGTATGCGAACTCGACGGTACAGTCCTCGATCGACCCATCGCAGCTTTTCGTGTCATTCCATATTTCGCGCGCAAATCCATTCCAATTCCCAAAGATCTCGAAGATGTCTCGACCGAGCGTCTTCGAGAACTCGAACTATCGAATTCTCTAGGTGACGACGACAATGATGAAGTCGAAGAAGCCGAAGAACACGACGAATAGAGGTTCTTCCCTTACTTGTACAACACGATACGTACTTTCTTCTCTCCATTCCTGCTCGCACGTTACGCGATATGTTTGATTTTCTCCTACGTTCCAGACCATCCCTTGTACGAATACCTTCAATTCAACTCGATAGTCGCGACATCGTTCGACGTTCTACGAACGCTTCGATTCGACCGTTGCACGGAGGCTCACCTTAGACGAGTCCTCCTAGGCTGTGATGACAAACTGAGCCTGTATTTTCATTAAGTCCATTTTCCTTCACTATGAACATTTCTATTTCACCTCCTATGTCCTTCAATCATATTACAACTTACTTCGAACACACTTATTTGCATTTCCTTTTCTTAGTTCCCCCTAGGTTTCGTCTAGGCCAAGGGCCGCATTTTCCATTCGACTATCTACGCAATGTGCTACGACATGAAGACAAACTACGATACAAGACGACCCGCGCCATCGCCTACTCATCGTCGACAGCCCCGCGCACGAAACCGATTCCTCCCTTCGTGAGCGCGGCCTTCTCCATCTTTTGAAGGTCGAGGTCCATGTCATGGAGGAGCGCTCGACGGCGCGCGATGTGAGCACGCTCCTCGTGGATGACGCGAATGATGCCCCGAGACTCATCGTCGAGGTCGAGTGCGTCGAGGTCGTCCTGCTCCAGGCCCAGGCGGCCGGCCCCATCGAGAGGCAGTCGAAGCAGTGGGCGCAGAGGCTCGTCGACTTGGCGCTTCTTCGAACCACTCGCATCCGCGACCGAAGGCCCAGGAGAGGTCGGCCGAACTACGAAGTCGTCAGCGAAGGCCTAGGACAAGAAGAAACGACTTACTGCGCTTCTTTGTGGTAGATCCCCCGCCGCGTGTTTTCTTGGTCTTCCCAAGCACAGACACTTTGTCGAAGTAGCATCCCTGCTGGAACTGCGCGCACCTCTCGCAGGTCATAGCGTTCTCAACCCACACGCAATCGACCGGGGCCGAGCGGTAGCCGGCGCAACGATCGCACTATCGAAGAGTTAGCTTCGAACCGACTCGACGGAGCATCGAACGTACCTTTTGTCCGGCCTGACGCTTCTCAATCGCCGCGGCGGCCATGTCGGCCTCCGTCATTGCGAACGGGCGTTCGACCGTATGCGGAGTCTTCTACGAAAGAGCGATTAGTAATCGAACGACGACAGAGAAAAGAAGACTTACGACCGAAGGGTCATCCGACAACTCAGTGACCTCCTCATCGACCCTCGCGCGCCCTTTCCCCTTGTCGACACCGGCAGGCGTGGGGTCAGGGAGAAGTCCCTCGGCGGCCGCGATCCACGCCAACTCCTCATCGGCGGCCTCTTGCGCGCGATGCTCGTCTTCGGCCTGCCTGAGGCGGTCCTCTTCGTTCTTTTGACGCCGTTTGTCTTCGAGGCAACGTTCCTCGGCAGCCTTCACATGCTTCGTGGCCTCTTCGACGCATCGTGCTTCCTCTTTGGCGAGGCACTTCTGCTCTTTGAGGCATCATTCGACCTCGGCATCGATGGCAGTCGCAAGCTCGGGCCAGTCCCCGCGCGCCCACTCGACCCACGACTCCGACGCCCGCTCGGCAAGCTGTTTGACGGCGGCGGCGACGCGCAACTCCGTCTCCTCGTTGCGGATGGCGCCCAGGGCCTTGCGATAGGCGAGCTGTTCGAAAACAAAGGTTTAGCTGGGTTATGCAGGTTAACAAACGACTTACGACGAGCGGCGACAAGTCTTGCGCCCACTCTTCGACCACGTTGAGCATGGCGTCGGCGGTCGGCGGAGCCTCGAGGACTGCGAGCAGCGAGGCGAGGCGGCGGTTGACGAGCGAAGGCGTCGAGGCAGGGGTGGCGGAGCGAGCAGACATCGTGGAAGCAGCGGGTATGGGAGAGAGGGCGATGAGGTAGCGACGAAGGAACAATGGGATGGGGAAAATGAGGCTAAGTCTACCCTGCTTATAACTCCTTTCCGACCAGCGTTTAGCGCCGGCCACGTGGCGTTCGAAGCCTACGCGGGTTGCCATGCCGCTTCGATCCGTTTACGACCATCGCGCTTCTCGCATCACGTGGAGGACCGAGGGCGGTCCAAATTTCAATAGGGAGGAGATGATAGGCGCCAAGCCCCTCTGGGCCCCGATTCACCTCTTTTTGGCAGTCGCATCCCGCCCGGCACTTCGACTCAGTCTCCCACCACTTCGATTTCGCCTTCGACGCTCTTTGACACCTTCGACGGTGTGCGATGCTTACTCGAAGCTCGGCACGGTCGTCCCGACGCCTCACGCGTAGATCTCGGAACATCTTCCGCATTCGGCGAATCTCTAGTCCCTTTAGGTCGCACCCAGGTTAGGGGTTAGGGTTTCGTAGGTCATATCAACGCGGGAGGGGATGCCGCTCAGGTACTTGTCGCGTAGCTCCAGGTCCCCATACCCAGAGCGGTCCGCCGGACCCTTGAACAGCGCGGAGAACTCCGCAGCGGTGCGTTTCTTGCGGACCAACTTGTCCGCGCAGAGCTTCGCCAGCTCTACTTGTGCTGCCGCCTCGTCGTCGAGATTTCCGAAGCGGGCCCTGAAGGCGGCGGCAAAGGCCGCTTCGTTCGCGAATGGGGTTGTGACCCCTTGTACTCCTACTTGCACCAACGCGAGCTGGGCAAAGTAGGGAGTGGCCCAGGCGCGGGCGTCTCCATCGAGCAGGCTAAGTGCGACCTGCACCTTGAGTTCGATGGTGGTCAACGACGTGTTGACCAGCCAGTAGATGCGCAGCTGCGACAGGAACCGGTTGCATTTGATGACGGTCTTGCCATCATAGCGGAGCGGGAGGAGGAGTTTCAAAGTCTCCTTATCGGGGGCGGCTGCAGGAGAGGACATTATCAGCGTTGGGGGGGACGGAGGACGCTGCGGGGGCAGAGGCGGCTGTGGTGGCCTTCCGCTGGTCAAACTTCGAGAGGAGCGAGTGCTCGAGCGGCCTCTCGGTGGAGTCAGCGGTGAAGGCGCCGGAGGAAGTTCGGCGGGGGGGTTACGTACGTCAGGGACTGCTGACGCGGAGGCGAGCGCTGTCAGCGAGGCGGACCCAACAGAATCCTCGGACTCGGACTCCGAGACTCCTTCTTCACCCGTACCCTCCTCAGGCTCAGGCTCTGGCACAGGGTCTGGAGGGAGATCTCCTCATGCTTGACTGGACTCGGCGACAGTTTGGGGAAGGCGGGAGGTAGGGGAGACAGGGCGAGAGTGCCTTGAGGCGGATCGAGATGCAAGGGTGCTTCGAGGGCCGAGCGGATGTTGTGCTCGTCTGATCGCCTTATAGCGCGGGTAATCTTCCGTGATCGATCGGGGTGTCCGGTTGGGGCACGGCTGCTGCTCACAACGGTAGATGACAGTCTCAGGGACGTCTGGGATGTAGACGTCGATGAGATCTTGAGAGTCAAATGCATGGATCTGGCCTTGGCAGGTAGCCACGATGGATGGGGGGAGGACGGGAAGGTGCGCGTACTAAAATGGCCATACTACACTAGCTTACGCTACGACGCCCGAGAAGACCCTGAGGTTCGCAGTTCACGTAGGGCCCAATACTGCTTTTGACTATTATGCAGCAGGAACCTAGACCACGCGTCCGTGAGGACAAACACCGCCCACTGAAGTGCAGGTGTTGAAGAGTTCGTTCCTCTAGGGGTGGCGATGTATGTAAAGCTATCTACGTATTGTATGTATTGTAGAGTATTGTAGGGGTGCGCACGACCCGACCTGTGGGAAAGGAAAGCGAATAAAGGGGGTCCCGAGGGGACGCCGGCAGCTTGGGGAGTTTCGACCTAATGTCGCGACTTGAGGTCAAGCGACTGAGAAAAACCTAAATGCTGGGGGCGTCCGACTAAGTCTTACCAAAGCGATGGTGAGCTACGCTCAAACCTAAGGCTAGGGACAAGTAGTTAGCATTGAATAAGTAAGTAAGTACAGGGGCTTACTAACCTAGGGATAAGAGGTCGAAACTGAGGTCCCTAGGGCAGCAGAGGCTGGCTTATATACAGGAGGAGTTTAGGGGAGGCTGTGCACACTGGTCTGTGCGCAGCTGGTCCGTGCACAGCATGCTGACGCGGCCCCGGGGGCCGGTGAGTCAAAGAGGCTGTGTCAGCGGAGCCCGAGCTGTGCCGTGCACTGCCGTCCTATCTAATCTGATCATACAGTAGATAACGGCTTGTCCGTTCAAGCGTATAGTACAGAGGTTGCGGGTTCGAGCCCGGGAAAAGGAAAAAACTTAGAAAAGGGCTAGACGCTGTACCAAGTCGTGACACTCACAGGGAATGACCCATGGCATTGGGGCGAAGAGGAGCAACATGCCTTCGATGAGCTCAAGCGGCTCTTTGCAACGACTCCAGTCTTAGCACTGTACGACCCTAATCGGGAAACGCGCATTGAAGTCGATGCCTCAGGGTACACCACTGGCGGCGTGTTGATGCACAAGCAGGATGATGGCAAATGGGACCCCATCGCCTTCAGATCCCATGCGATGGATCCGGCACAGTGTAACTACGAGATCTATGATAAAGAGATGCTCACGATCATTGAGGCGCTAGACGATTGGCGCCACTATCTCGAGGGGTTACCCAATCAGTTCGAGATCGTAACTGATCACAAGAACCTCGAGTACTGGCGTACATCCCAGTATCTCACGCGTCGTCAAGCGCGATGGTCGCTGTTCCTGGCTCGCTTTGACTTTCGCATCACGCACAAGGCCGGAACGTCGAATGGAAAGGCTGATGCCCTGTCGCGCCAATCAGACCATCAGATCGGCGATGAGGACGATAACACCGACCAGGTGGTTCTCAAGCCAGAGCGTTTCCGCATCGCCTCCGCCAGGCGCGGTCATGCCTCAGTGACAGCTGATCAGTCGCTTCTGAAGCGCATCAGAGAGTGCTCGGAAAGGGATTGGGAGGTGGCCGAGGCGCTTGAAAAGGTGCAGGACCTCGGGCCGCCCCGGCTGCAAAGGGGCTTTGAGGAGTGGAACGCCGAACAAGGGCTTCTGCTGTTTCGCGGGTGCGTATACGTCCCAAAGAACGCAGAGCTCCGGCGGGACATAGTCAAGATCCACCACGACTCGCCGATCGCCGGTCATGGTGGTCGCGCCAAAACCCTGGAGCTCGTGTCGCGGAACTACTGGTGGCCAGGAATGTCCAAATTTGTCAATGAGTACGTAAGCACCTGCGACGTGTGCAACCATACCAAGACATTCCCAGCTAAGCCCCAGGGTCCGCTGAAGCCGAACGAGATCCCCGAGCGCCCATGGCAGATCATCACGACCGATATGATCGTTGGCTTGCCAAAGTCTGATGGATTCGACTCGATCCTGGTCACCGCCGACCGCTTTACCAAGCAGGTCCACTTCTCGGCCTGTCATGAGACCCTGACGGCAGAAGGTGCAGCAGACCTGTACATCCGCGATGTGTTCAAGCATCATGGGGCCCCGGCCAAGGTCATATCAGACCGAGGTCCCCAGTTTGCTTCGAAGTATCTCCATGCGGTGTACAAGGGACTGGGAATCGAGCCGGCGCTGTCCACAGTGTTCCACCCTCAGACAGACGGCCAGACTGAGCGCTGGAATCAGGAGATCGAGCAGTACCTGCGTGCTTTCACAAGCCACAGGCAGGATGATTGGGCAAAGCAGTTGCCGCTCGCGGAATTCGCACTGAACAACCGAGTTCACTCCGCGACCGGGCACTCCCCTTTCTTCCTGCATCAGGGGTACAATCCTGAGATCCAAGTACGGATCAATCCGATGTCTGCAATGCCTGTGGCCGCTGATCGGCTCAAGATCCTGAAGGAGATTTGCGATGACACGCGCTCTGCGCTCGAGCTGTCAGCTGAGCGCATGAAAGTGTACTACGATAAGCACGTGCAAAAGGCACTGGTCTTCGCGCCGGGGGACAAGGTCTGGCTTGACGCTCGGAACCTTAAGCTGAAACAGCCGAGCAAGAAGCTCAGTCCCAAGCGCCTTGGACCATATGCCATGCGGCGAAAGCTTGGAGACTTGGATTACGAATTAGTCCTGCCGAAGTCAGTGCCGGTGCATCCGGTGTTCCATGTCTCCTTACTTAGCAAGTACACGCGTAGTGACATCCTGGGCCGGGAGCCGGAGGAGCTGCCTGCGATCGAGGTTGAAGGCGACGAGGAGTACGAGGTCGAGCGGATAAGGATTCGCGGATCTTCCGGCGTCAGCTGCAGTACCTCGTCAAGTGGAAGGGTTATGACGACTCGCATACGTCATGGGAACCGGCGCACAACATTGCCAATGCGCCGGCCCTCGTAGCCGACTTCCACCGGAAGAACCCAAACGCCCCTCGCCGCCTCAACGCTGCTACCTTTGGTGGTCTCAACTTTCAGCCAATGCCTTCGCCGCTAACTGAAGCATGCTGCCGCTCCGGGTGGGAGATGGGCAAGGGCGCCTCGCATGAGGTCATGCGCCGTTGAGGGGGGGGTAATGTCACGACTTGGTACGGCGCCTAGCCGTTTTTTAATTTTTTCCTTTTTGCGGGCTCGAACCCGCGACCTCGGTACTATACGCTTGAACGGACAAGTTGTTATCTATTGTACGATCAGATTAGATAGGACGGCAGTGCGTGGCACAGCTCGGGCTCCGCTGACACAGCCGCTCTGACTCACCGGCCCCCGGGGCCGCGTCGGCATGCTGTGCATGGACCAGCTGCGCACGGACCAATGCGCACAGCCGGCCCTTATCTCCCCATGTATATAAGCCGGCCTCTGCTGCCCTAGGGACCTCAGTTTCGACCTCTTGTCCCTAGGTCAGTAAGCTCCCATTTGTATCCCTTACTTACCTTTACTAACTAATACATTTTCTTGTCCCTAGCCTTAGGTTTGAGCGTTGCTCACCATCGCTTCGGTAAGAACCAGTCGAACGCCCTCAGCTTTTAGGTTTTCCCCTGTCGCTCGACCTCAAGTCGCGACAGATAGGTCCAAGCTGGAGTGGCGGTTTACTGATGTTCTTGTATGTTCTACTCTTTTTTATGCCATTAAATCTCTATCTTACTTTGCCTTATTGCCCTAGTGATGTGTTGTGATTCATGTGCTCTCAGCTTCAAGTCGAAGTAAAGTTTATATTCAGGTATGTAAGTCCTATTAAGGGAATGTGTGGTTTTGCTGATGTATAACTTACCTGGATCGCTAACTAGTGTGATCCATGTATAATGATCGACCACTAGTTAGCATAGATCATACTTGGTGTCGTCAGCTACTGGTGCTCGGGCTTTCTGAACCCTCAAGCCAGGCCCTCCGCGAGGGCTTTCGAGGGCTTGGGCCGGGCTTTTGGTGGCCCGGCCGGCTTGGGACTCAAAGCCCGGCCGTGGACGACACTACCGAAAATCACAGCAGGGGATGAATTTTCTATCAGTGGAGCACTGCTTAGAGTTACGACGCTATCAACGTTAATAGTCACTGGACCCCGCTCCCAAGGACAGCGGAATGAAGATGTATTCATCTATCATGCCAGACAGAACAAATGTTCTACAATCATAACAATCAAGCCTTTGCAAAAAGTGCCATCAAGGACAGAAACAGGAACCGCGCTGCGCCAGGCGTGATAGTCGGGGCAAGCATCGTCACCAGCGAGAAAACCGTCCGACTCGTGTCAACCATCCCCGTACGCATCCACCACGGTGTCGATACGCTCAACCACACGAACACCCACACATATCCAAGCGCGTGCGCTAAGCCATCCGGGCACTGCGCCTGCATACCGGTGCGCTTCGCCACGCCAATGACCGCGTCCTCGAACGAGATGGCCACGGCCTGGGCGATGAAGAACGGGAATGACATGCCGAACAGCTTCGGGCTTACCATGATGTCGCCGCCACAGTGTATCAGGCCTGACACCGCGAAACCGACATACAGCTGCGTGTATGACGACGCCCAGGATCCCTGGCGCAGTCCCAGCAGGCGGCAGCACGCCTTTCCCATCGACGCAGCGTACTGCGCACATCACATCATACGGCTATGGCTATCAGCGGATCGAAGAAGGCGAGCGTGCGAATGGCGTACGTACACGGCGTAACGACTGATGGTAGGTGCGCCTGCGCAAAGACGTATGTATGAGCGTCTGTCACATCTTGAACGCCATAGGCCAGCAGTGACTGAGAACTCACCCCCAGAACCGCCGCAGCGTGTATGCGTCGGCCCACTCTCCGTACATTGCAGGCCAGTCTCTGGGCATTGAACAGGCAATAGCGACGGACACCGCGGAGAATAGACGATAGGGCATGTCGATCATCCCATACGCTGGAGCAAACCACGCGACGATGTTGACACATCGCTGAATGTAGCCTTGGGCGCTCAAGGAGAACAGGCCGGCGTCATGATGGGAGAACGAAGGATTAGAGCGCTGGTAGGTCTGTGCGAGGTCGACGAGCAGGTACAATCTGAGTGCGTACAGCAGCTGCTGACGCACGAACGACCAGCGTGGTTCGCTAGGACGAGGAGGTACGTTTGCGATCTGGAGCGAAGCAAATTGGGTGGCGCATGAGCATTGGAAGGGCAGGAATATGAAGCCGCGCACACCTGGCAATTCCATCCTACTCCGCGTGGGCCAGTGATGACACATAATGCCCAATACATCCGGCGCAGGAACGGCATTGCTGGAGGTGCAATGTGGTCGCGCTCGTGGCGCAGGTCATTCAAGGGGTCTGTAAGCCATAGGAGGTGAAATGCGGTGAAGAACTGCACTACAAAGGAGGAGCCAAGAGCGTAATTTTGCTGAAGATCCCCGGTGGTACTGGTGAGTACCAGTCCGAGACTGTAGGTGTATGTTGCGAATGCCGCTAGCTTGATAGGCCCTTTCGGGCGGAGGGCAATGAGTGCTGACAGGAAAGCATTCTGCAGCAGGAGCACTGGCAGTACTGGCAGTCTGGAGCGATCGTCAACGCTCATGATGGCGCTGTCAAGGACTCGAGGATGATACAGACTCTAGCAAAGCAGGCTATTGCACGGGTTGATATGCCTGCGGGACGGAGCCAGGGTATTATATCTATGCCCCCACGCATGCGCTCAGACCCAACCCATGTCCTCTGATCTTGTGAGCCAAGGTAGTCCGCGAGACAATACAGGTTGACCTAAACCCTGCAGTCCTCAGCTATAATTGGTCAAGTCAATACGGTGCCGATCAGAAGTAGATTAGGATGGCGAGGCAACAGGGGTAACTAGCAAATACCTACAGGGAATCGTTTGACGAATACCAAAGTCAGAGCCCTTCTATCGTCTCATTGCGCTGCAAAGCCACATCTCGGCCGCCTTCCGATGAGTAATCGATGGTGAGAGTCCACCTCGAACGTCAGTAGCTCCATCTCCGAGGCACTGGGATTGGACAGCGTGTATCTTTGTCTCGTACCCATCCCCCCGTATCCGCACCCCACCACCGCGAAAAGGGGGGCAGTTAGATAGGCGCACCCCCTGGCTTAAGCGCCCCACAAGCGCCAGAATATAACGGTCACAGGTTGCTTCTGGTACCTAGAAATGATGCGATCTTTGATCGCTTTCCAAATCCGGTACTCACACCTAGCAGGTCGTGCTCGAGGAAGTGTCAACAAAGGCATACCTGAGCTTGTAAAATACTTGAAAGGCCACACAAAAAGTATCTATGCCAAACTCAGCCTGTAAGTTTATGACCAAATGAGGTATCATGTGGAAAGCATCATAATGAAAGCTGCAACTTCTCCTTTCAGTACCTGTGGCATCCTCATGATGTTACTGGAGGGGTATATCTCATGGAATACTTAGGTTTCTGGTGGATATAGTATATGAGACTTATCTAAGATGCTTGAAACAAGTAAACTTGAGATTCTGTAGCAGACCACAATGTAGCGTCCACCAGTCTCGAGCGTGAGTACCGGATTTGGAAAGCGATCAAAGCTCGCATCATTTCTAGGTACCAGAAGCAACCTGTGACCGTTACATTCCGGCGCTTGTGAGGCGCTTAAGCTAGGGGGGTTGCGCCTATCTAACTGCCCCAGACCCCCTTTTCGCGGTGGTGGGGTGCGGATACGGGGGGATGGGTACAAGACAAGTGTATCTTACAATCTGGAGGCTGGATGTGAGGTTGGATTGCCATATTAAGTAGACTTAGCTGGTCATGAGAACTGTTAGACATGAACATATTATGGAGGCGCTGCCATGAAGTTTAGGTTATGTTGGCAATTCTTGTACTGGAGTTCTGCTTCCGAGGACCGAGCCGGCGGAAAGCTTACAGTGTACTACAATAGGCCGCCCCAATCACCGTCTTCCCGCACCGCGCGTCCCACAACCAAGTGGACAAATTCTTTGGAGGGGTTGCCCGTCCTCGTCTTGAATGCAAACACGCACATGAGTAGGCCTGGGCCATTCGGTTAGGGCTAGCGGAGCCGCCAATATCAACCAAATTCTCCGGCAGAGGCCTATCAAACAGTGACGACACGTAAAAGACAACTTACGACTCACTCTGTTTATGGGATTGGGCGGTTGGCATGAGTGCGCTTCGGCCAAATTTACTCATCTCACTCAGCGGTCGTGACCGATGCAGATGGACAAGCACCATTCAGTTCGTCGTCCAATAACGCGCTACATGAGTGACATGCTTCCCCTGAACTCGTGACTAGCATGTGCATGATTCATAATTATATGAGAGGTGAGGGGCAGCTTATTGCGTTCAGGTACTGCTGTCAGCATTATTAAGGCACTTCTTGAACATTTGGTGATGGGGAACTTTCGATATTGTCCGGTGAGCTCTCCCGGACTTCTCAACATGATGATATCGATAACTTATGCTCGCATTGATAGAGAATTTCACGAAAGATGAGGCACAACATCACGTCGGAGTGCTGTCGAAGGACGACCTTATCACATCTGACATCAAATGAGCCACCTTGTCAGCGTAGGTTGCACCGCAGTATCGCCTATAGTCCACCCGCTGACATGCCTGCCTTGAGTTTCCGTCACATCTAAATCGTCCACGGTTGCCCGGTGGGTGATGCTGATGACCCGCGGCTGCTCAAGCAATATTAACATTACTCGAACAGGCATTGTCCTGGGATCTGAACGCATGACTCACGATCCAACAATAGGAAGACATCCCCTCCTTGTTGTTCCGCCCATCAGGCGCTCCCTCAGCGCTTGCCCTGATGGGCTTCTATGTTGCTGTGTGCGAAGCATGATGAACAGGCTTGCGCGTTTCACCGAGTCAGCTTCATCAGGTAAATCGGAAAAGAGAAAGATGCGCATGTCCCAATTGTATGTGATAGCTTGCGGCAGGTCCCAAACCTGTCACTGTGACGTTCACGTTGGCCCCCGGAACTGCACCAATAGTGCGCTTGCCTTACTCGTTGTCAGATCCTACATATTGACCCCCCGCACCACAGAGTAGAAGATAACCACATTACCATGAGTACCTCAGTCTCTATCCCGCCCGACATTATCGCCTTCGTCTCTGCCTCCACACCCACTCTCAAGAATCTAACTATCAGCGCCGTATGGCTCGGTGTATCCATCCCTCTTCTTATTGTTCTTTTCTTCTTCTCTACAGAGAAACTGCGCAGGAAACCGATTTTCATCCTCAATGCCATTTCCATTTCAGTGGGGATTATCATGGGGCTTCTGAATGTCGTTCTTTTGGTGAAGTTCCTCCTCACTGTTCAGATGTGAGGTCATATTTATGCAGCATGGCCTCAACTAGTTCACGTCTGTGACTCGTCCCGATTCCCCTCTTAACGACGCCTCACTTATTGCATACATTGTCCTCCTCGCTTTCCTCCCATTTCTTATCGAGAGCATCCTCGTTATGAGGCTTATTGCGGTCTATCCACCTCGCAGAACAACGACCAAGGTTCTGCTAGCGATCTTTGTGCCCATTGCATTGCTCAAATCTGGAAGACTGGCGAACCTCATCCTCTGGGTACACCGCTATTCGATCCTCATCAGGACAGCTAACTACACTCAGTTGGCGGTGTTGTCTGAGGGTCTGCCAGAAGCAACTGTCGAGTGGACCTTGCAAGTGGTGGATAACGCGTATGTCTTACGAATATGCTTTTGGCGATGATTCTGAGTACTCTATGATCCAGCACATCTTCAAGTTTGTTCCTTTGGCGCCTTTACAAAAATGCACGGCTCCCAGCAGGCCTCAGCCGGAATAATGGTAAATGTAAGTACTCATCGCCATTTTCTTTCAAGAATCACGGTCTAAAAACAATGTAAGCCTCCTACGCGTCTCAGTTGAAGGGACTCTTCTGGATCAGCATATCCAACTTCGTCTTTCCATGTCTATTCTCCATCACCCTCCTTGGGTTAAGTCATTCCGCATCCCACTACCAAGATCTATTCGAGGTTTTTCTCTCAAGCGTCTACGTGCAAGCTATCGGAGTATTACTAGCTACCGTGTGGGCAGCCAGTAGCCACTGGGATGATGGGTCGCAGACGCTCCACGGATCATCCCAGGTGTCGATGAGGTTCGCCACAAATTCGGATATCGATACGACACGCCAGGACACCGTGACTAGCGGAAATACGATGCGGCTGGGAGTCGTTCCGGACGAGATTATACTACATTCGTTCAAGTCTTCTAACGATACGGATATAGAGGACAATAAGCAGTAGCGGTTTAGTAGGACCATAGTGCAGCGACTTCTTGTAACGCAGGATCAGTGGATTCTGATTGCTGCCAGTGCTCTCGACAAAATACTGTACAAATATACGATCACGGCTTGCTGTAGCGAAATACGCAGAACAGTCCTCTCTTCTAAGGTTTTGCAGGCGGCTCAAAAGCAGAAGTTATGTTCTCGATTCCGTGCGTATGAATCTCATTTCATTAGGTACACGTAAAGTATATCCAAGCGCTGGCCCACGAGTGAAGCAACCCGCGCTCGCAGTCGTCGAGTGCATCAATATTTACGACCACAATCAGTAGCGACTGACATCCGCTGAAGTCCACATACATACTAGCGGATAAAAGGAGAGTCGGATCATGCACACTTCTCCGCGCCGACAACAGCGTCCAGTATTTGCGATCCGGATTCCAAAGAATCGACTATTGTACATCAATCAATACCAAGTACTGTACATGCAAGGAGTGGAGTTGAATGCCTGACATCTACCGGCGTGTGAACACAAGAGGAATTTGGTTGGCGGCCCTGTAAACACAATTACATGACAAATCTAAGGAGACCAGGGCTGTTGCTCACGTCAGGGTCAGCTTGATGTTGGCGGTGAAGATTCGTTGTTTTTTATCCTCAAAGGTCTCATGTGCGTACCGAGGGTCTTCTTTGATCGAGACTTTGTATCTCGAAATTATGAGGCTGAGAATGGCGACAGCCTCGGTCTCAAAAAACTTTCTGCCGATACACGACCGAGACCCTGTCACGTAGACAGTAGCAGTCCTCAGTTTCTGCAGTGCGCCGCGTACAGAAAACTCACCGCTGCTGAATGGTATGAACGCTTCACGTGGGTAGTCAGTAAGAAACCGAGACGGGTTGAAGACATGTGGATCTTTCCAGTATCGTGCTACAGCGAACATGTCCGTCAGCGCGACAGTATGAATTAGCTATCTGCGCACGATTATAATGAACTCCCGTGATGTGGAGGAAAATCTTCGTATTCTTTGGCACCGGTATAAGCTTCTTCGATCCGGAAGCGTGGGTGACCGTAATGACCGTGTCCTCCGCGCAGTATTTTGGTGACGCGTTGACCTTCAGACGGCTAGGTAAGGGTGTGGTATGTCATATTAGGTTAATTCCTACCGGAGGATACATGCGAAGTGTTTCGTTGATGACCGCCAGGGAATATGCGAGCAAGTGGATGTCTTCATATTTCTACCAGGAGATGGTCGGTACACACGAGACAGCGACTTTGCAGTTGACTCACCGGAAGTTCCCCGTTAGGCATTACTTGCTTGATCTGTTGGTACAATGCTTCTTGTTCGTCTGGATAGAGACTGAGGGCAGCCAGTGCGAAGGCAAGTGCTTGAGAGCTAGCCTGGAGCCGATATGACTTTCGTAGCATCTAGGATTCGCATCGTTGCTTACCTCATGCCCTCCCAGAAGGAAAATGAAGACATTTGCTGTGTGCAATCAGAGATTATGCCGAGCCCATGCAGGACGTTTTCTCGACGTACCTATAAGTTCTTCATCCGTCAACGGTTTCTCGCCCTTTATCTCTGAATCTCCGTTAGCTTCGAGGAGGTTATTCAATAGATCTGAACGCCCTTCCTCTTGAGTAGAGGTTTGGCGTTCTCTGATCATCTCCTTGATGTATTCCTATCAAGTGTGATGGCTGTCAGTGTGTATGGAGATATGTTCAAAACACCCACCTCTATCTCCTCGAATGCAAGTTGCAGCTTGCGCAACCGCGGATGCAGAGTGAAAGAAAATTTGGGCAGTAGAAGTTTCAAGAATATATCTTTCGCGATGATGTCTATCGCGGCCTTGAATGACATCTTATGGCCGTGGGGAACGACACCGTCGTGCTGGAATGTGACCTCACGCCCGAAACCTGGACAAGTCTATGAACTGAGATTACATGAGAAAATAACTGCGGGCCTACCAGCAATCGCAATCATGTACAAAGCAAGCTTCGATGACCAGTTAGTGACAACCAAGATGTCCTTCAAGACTGGCGTGCTTACCGGAAGAGTGATTTCGGTAACGTCATCCAATACCACTTCTTTCTCGTTCTTGAACACGTTATCTAGCAGGTCCACACCGAGTTTTGATGCCGAGTACCAAACATATTCATGATTGCGCTAGGACGTTCTGTTCACCGACAGGTCAGGTTCAGAAGCAGCAAGGCACGCACATCAGAGAAAGCGGATGCGACCATACGGCGATATCGCTTCCAGCTATCAAATTCAGACGCAACTATATTTGGACCAAATACAAGCAGGACTTTGTAGAGCTCCACAGGCTTGGGGAAGCGCAAGCGTGACGACGCAATTTCCTGAAAGCGGAAAATCAACTCTCGTTTGCGGGTTTGAACGAATCAGACATACTTTAATAGCAGCGGCGTCCGACAACCACAAGGAGCTGTATCCCACGGGAAACGCAGAGACCTGAGCGACAATCAGACCCCATCAATTGTGCCACGAAAGCATATTACCATAAAGTATGCATCGCACCCATCGGATGGATAATCTACGAGTGGCTCAGCGCGCGCTTGACATTCGACAGTGTGCAGCACTACCGTTATGTTTCGAAAGCCAAGGGTAATCATAACCCAGAGAAATGCCCGGGATGGGCCTGCAGATCTGACTGAATACCGTCTCGACACCGATAAGAGTACGTGGTCCGATCCATCCTCTGAATAAGCAAAGATTAACCAAGACTAGCCAAGGCAAGTAGTTTGTACACTCACTTATTCCTTTTTACTGTCTCGCGGTAGAGTATATAGACTCTGAGAAACCAGACACAGACGAAGAAAACAAAAAGGAGATATAGCACGGGAGAGGGTGCGACTGAAGAGATGTATTGATCTGAGACCATGATGCTGACCAGAATCGAAGGGATGATGCAAATAGACGCGACTAGGGGTGAGACGCGAGGCAGAGTACCCTTATGAGCAGGCTCGAAAGACACTGTGTACCCATGCGTGAGCGCGCGTAAACACGATATGGGATATGACAGCTACATTTGTTACTGGTGAATAGCCTGCCCAGGCATATTGCGATGATGCTGGTTCGCCGGCTATGACTAAGGGCCGTCCTGTGCATCATGACTATCAGTCGTGTTGACACCGCCGTAGCGGGCGCTGTCATGAACAGACGGCTGCTTATCCCGCTGGTGGCAGCAACAGCAATCCTATCGATGCGATCAATCCGCCATGGTTTCTCTGAAATTGAAAATACTAAGTTAAGCATGACAGCCCAGTGTGGTGACGGACTTGCGCGTCGGATCATACGCGATACTCTGTGATTCAAGGTCAGTCTACAGGCCTCTCACATACAAGACATTATCACGCGGGTTGGTATCTCAAAGATATCACCACCTGAAAATACAAGAAACATCATAGAGGGTTTGTCCCCTGTGAGATCTGTCCCTGACCGAGGATGTCGGCGACCAAAGCCACATATCTAGCTCTTAGCCGGTTACGTGTAGCGAGATATGATAACGCAGAGAGCCCGCAGCAGCGCTCCGATGGAAGGATCGCAGGAGTGGAAGCCGTGAACATGGCCAAATAGAGAAGCGCTCATGATCTTGTTCAATGTTTGGCATTGTGTGCTGCGTCGGGGCCGCAACGCCCTGGTCCGTGCTTCGCGGGAGGCGTCTAGTCCTTGATTGGGACCCAAGGCGGGAATTCCTCTTCTCTCCGCCGCTCAATCCACGCATGGTGGCAGATGTCCTCCCATGCGACCGCACTATGCGCTGACGCCTTTCTCCTGGGAGCCGCGTTCTTTACCGTGACGCAAGCGCACAGGTATGCATCAGGAATGCGGAACTCTGGCTTCGCGGGCGCCCTTCAAACTTGGGCTCCGTCTACCATCTCTCTCGTGCACCTCCATTACTTGACTCACCATGGACCGCCCACAAGACGTCTACGCTGTCATAGGTGGTAGCGGGCTCATAGGGAGACAAATTGTCGACAAGTTGAAGGCTCGGGGAGACACTGTCTTCGTTCTCGACGTCACCCAGAGGCATGACGACGTGCCATTCCACCATGTCGATGTGACCAATAAGGACGGGCTCCGGGATACCCTCAAGAGAGTGAGCTTAACGTTCTCGCTGCCAGTTGTTCATTTGTAAACCGACGCCGTCTTTCGCTGCACAGTGCGGTGCCACTTGCGTCTTCCACCTTGCGTCTCCTCATGCCGGCACGGCGCGCGCCGAGGTGTTTTGGAAAGTGAACGTCGAAGGCACTAAGAACGTCATTGCAGCCTCCGTGGAGGCTGGAGTCCGCAAGCTGATATACACGAGCTCCTCCGGGGTGGTGTTCAATGGAAAGCCGCTGAATGGCGTCGACGAGACATACCCTTTCCCGGCCAAGCACATGGATGTCTACATGGAGACCAAAGCCAAGGCGGAAGAGCTCGTCCTTGCGGCCAATGGCAAGGACGGTTTGTTGACGGTGGCCATCAGACCATGTGGTGTGTTCGGGTCAGTGATGGCTACAGCTACACGAGTGTTGCGAGAGTGATCTGACATTATGCACCGGCAGACCTGGTGATAGACAGCTCATGCAGGGCCTTGCGACGGCGTTCGACCGGGGTCAGACGGGGACGCAGATCGGCGACAACACGAACCTGGTTGACTGGACATATGTCGCCAATGTCGCTCAAGGGGAGATTCTGGCCGCGGACAAGGTCGACCTGCCCGTGACGGATCCATCGATGGCGGTGGCAGGCGAGGTGTTTTTCATCACGAACGACGAGCCGTGGCGTTTCTGGGACTTCACGCACAAGATCTGGGACAAGCTGTACGAGCTGTATCCTGGTCATCAGGCGCGTCCGGAGCCACGGGTGATCCCAGCGGGTCTGGGGATGGTCTTTGCAGCGTGCTCAGAGTTCATCGCATGGCTGTTGAAAAAACCACCGATCTTCACGCGGTTCAACGTCATCTTCATGTCCACTCCGAGATGGTACAACGTTTCGAAGGCGAAGAGGGTCCTCGGGTACAAGCCTGAGGTCTCGGTCGACGAGGGTATCATGCTGGTGTTGAACGTATGTATCTCTATCTTGCCATAGTCGCAATGCTAATCGCTTCCCCAGTGGTGGAAGTCCGAATACCCTGACAAGCCGTCGGATGTTGTCAAGGATTAGCACGAAAATATCTCAAGAGTTTCAGGTCGGTGTTTTCGATCATCATGGGACCATTGGTTGTACTAGCGTTTTGTGCTGTCGTGTATTGCTTGTACTGCTTCCTTGCTGTTGCTCACTATGGCTTTGTCTCACTTTCGTGCATTGCTCAATGCTCCCTTGCGCTACCTCGTACGTCGCTCAAGCCTCCTGCTGATATTCTGGCTGTACCTTTGAGCACCACACTACATGGAGGAAAATATACCTATGTGCTTTCGTATGCGTGGATCCGACCCGCGGGCATCTCACAATATGAACAAGGCAGCGACGATAACTGTTGCCTACTACGGATCAATGAGAGACAAATTGCGGCTCCACTGCGCTAATCTGTCGTGTTGTTGTCTTGTCTCGGCGAGGTCCATCTAGTCTGTCGCTCGTTATCAACCTGTCGTGGTAGGACCCTACTTACTTTGCAGTACCTTGATCGTCTCAACTTGCCGCCCGGAACATCAGATGTCCTGGAACGCATGCTGTGTGCGCTACTGATTATCATAGCTTCCAGGCAGGCGCAAACACCGCCTCTGAGCGCGCAGATGGCCGATGACTACACTGTATGTGAACCAGAGGTGTAACTTGAGCACGATGACGAATTCGCCAGCATCTGGGCTAGCGGACGAGGTACGACTCCCTCGGTGATTGAAGGGGGACCTCTGGCACTCTTCTACCGCGCACTGGTTTCACTGCCATTATCACTGTAGAAGTCCTTCCGCAGGCCTCGCGATTGAAGGAGTGTGACAAGAAGCAACGAGTAGTAAATTTATTCTTAATTCTAGATTTCTGTTTTCGACCGAATTAGCTTTCACGAGTCTGGCATGCTGGGGTCTGCTATGTGTGGTAACCATTCACGCTCACTATTTATCCGCGGGCTCTTCGCCTTCGAAGGTGCCCCTTCCTGCGTTGACAGTACGCGGCGCGTGGTAAGTTGCCTTGAAAATGTAGACGATGCGATAGCCACTAACAATGTATTGAGGGATGCTGCTCTTGGGAGCAACAGATCTCTTGCTATCCATCACATCGCTCTGCTCGCTGTGGCTTGGATTCGCTGTCCCCATTTTCGGCGTCGTTCCTCGCTTATGGCTGAAGAGCGAAATTTCGACGTTGCTCCGATTGTCCGCTACGTTCGTCGCTGTGTTTAGCGGCGTCTCGTACTGTCTCATATTGGTATGTCGGAGTTCGGGGCTGCCGCACCAGTTCTCAACATACTCACGACGTCCACCGCCAGACGAGGACTAAGCCATCACATACGGAATACGTAACGCTCAAAACGTATTATGCCTGGGATGCCGACATGACCTTTGTGTCATATCTGAACACGACTACCGCTATTATGCTCCTTGTGGAGACCATGCTGTTTTGTCGCCTCCTAGCAAGGATTATCCGCAAGCGCATATTACATCATATTTTCGGACACCTCATCGTCCCACTCATCGTCATCAAGTTCGCTAGAGTCGCAAATCTCGCTTGCACCGTCTTCGGCTCAGAGATTGGCCGCCTGGATTCTACTTTTGCGCTGCGGCCCTCATCGTGGGGACATCCTGGCACGAACACTGAGTGGCTCATGCAGGCTTCCGATCATATGTAAGTAGCTGGACTTTTACTATTCCCTCATCGAGTGTTGACTCACCGGTATTCTCGAAGTGGTTCTTCATTCTTGCTCCTTTGGTGCGGCAGTCGAGGATTCGAAGACGATGAGCGTGGGAAAGGCATCTATAGTACGTTATGGACTCGAGTCACCTTTTCGATATCGTCGTCAATGTTAACTAAACTCAGGTGTCAATGCTGCATTTGACGGCTTGCATATTCTCTTCTGGATGGCGTCCTCCGTGTCAGATGGCTTGATTACAGCATTGGATAAACCGCAGACACCAACGCCGAGGAAGATCTTCCTTGGGAATATTGCCAGAATCTTTCATCTTGCCTTAATTCATTTCTGGGTGCAGTTTTACGAATCAGACTAAGCGCACATGTTATGTATCAATCAGACCTGGCCTTTCCTTGTAAAATTAGATATGTTATTGCATCAAGGACGACGGGGCATCAAATCTCAGATTTATCTGCGTGTGGCTTTGATCTTCATTTGAAACTACTCACCGCAGCGGTATTCTGTTACAAGGATCACATATTCCTTCTCATGTCGAACCTGCCATCTTCGTCGTTCCAGGGCACGCTGACGATCAGCGCATCGTCCGTGATTGTCGCGCCCATAAACAAAGTATGGCAGATCCTCGTCGACTTCACGTCCTATGCCGAATGGTACGTCCAGTCCCAAACGTTTACTCATAACGAGGACATACTCAGGCTGCGTCCTGAGTCTATGTTCAGGAACACCTTCGTGTACGGTGTGCATGTCCCTGCGTAGACAGTGTACACCGCTAGCTGACACACGGGAGTAACAGACACAAACAGAGAATTGTGGACCGCACTTCCAAGGGGCCGCTGCCCGACCAGACACCGCGCGAGGGAACGTACCTCCTCATGGAGGTGCAAATACCACCGACGTCCGACCGCTCCCACACGCCGACGTCGCGCCCGCTCGAGGTGATCACGGCGGTCGACCCGGCAGCGCACCGTGTGACGTGGAAGAATCTGATGCCGTCGTGGTTTCTGTGCGCGGAGCGGTGGCAGGCGCCGAGTGTCGTCGAGGAAGGGAAGACGTTGTAGGAGACGCGGTACATTATATGTGCGCGCACTCCTTTCTAGCGAACTGCAGCAGGGGTTCCAGGCGGTTGCCGATGGACTGAAGTGCCAAGCGGAGCAGTCTTAGTGATTCGAGATGTCTTCTCCGAACCTTGCTCTGTGGTTGTGATGATGTTCATGCTGACACAGCGGTTATTGATATCATTGGTGATCCATGTATGCTACGGGTCGATATGAGCGGCCCTGTAAATTGTATACCCGCCCTATTCTTCTTCCTTACTCACCACTGAGGATATCACGCCACTGTCGAGTAAGACGGCCCAGAATAAAGGATCAAAACAAACAACCACTGCCCCACTGCTGTGCCGCGCGAATATGTTCATCCACAACGACGATTCTAGACTCATCGCGTCGAGCCCAAGATGGATGACAGCAAGAGCCTCACCAATGAATGGTCTCGCCACGCATACCTTCGTGCTGATAAAATCCGCACACATGAAGCCATACAATGTCAATATCTGTCACGAGTTGACACGGCGTCTAGCCGTTTTTTAATTTTTCCTTTTCGCGGGCTCGAACCCGCGACCTCTGTACTACCTACCTGATATGGACACGTCGTTATCTACTGTACGATCTGATTAGATAGGACGGCAGTGCACGGCACAGCTCGGGCTCCGCTGACACAGCCGCTCTGACTCACTGGCCTCCGGGGCCGCGTCAGCATGCTGCGCACGGACCAGCTGCGCACAGACCAACGCGCACAGCCTGCCCTTATCTCCCCATGTATATAAGCCGGCCTCTGCTGCCCTAGGGACCTCAGTTTCGACCTCTTGTCCCTAGGTCAGTAAGCCTCCTTTGTATCTTTTCCTTACTTCACTAACTAATACATTTACTTGTCCCTAGCCTTAGGTTCGAGCCTAGCTCACCATCGCTTTGGTAAGAACCAGTCGAACACCCCCAGCTTTTAGGTTTTCTCCTGTCGCTCGACCCCAAGTCGCGACAGAAGCGCGCCACTGAGGTTGAGCAGATCCTCGACATCAGCCGGGCCCATCGGCCCGAGCTAAACAACTTCTTCTCGGCCCGGGGTCGAGGACGTGGTGGGGCACGTGGTGGTGCACCCCCATCGTACGGAGCTTCGGCCAGCATCAATGCGGCCGTCGGAAAAGGAAACTTCCCCGGCAGTTGTTTTGGCTGCAGGAAGCAAGGGTACCGACGTTTCGAGTGCCCCAATTGTAAGGACAAGCCTTACACAAAACGCGCCGACGCATGGGCTATGGTTGCCTCGGGCTCCACCCGGGCTGCGACAAGCACCCCCGTCATGACGTCACCCTCGGCAAGTATAAGTGCCACTTCAGTGAAATCCGAGCAATCGGAGCTGGCGGACTTAATGGCACAGGTGAAGTCGATGCGCGAGGAGCTCGAGCACTATCGGGCGATGAAGGAGGAGGGTTTTTAATCCGGTCCGCGCTTCGTGCCGCACGCGTCAGGCCGCGTAATAATAACATGTACAATGTACTGGCTACTGCGAATGTTTACGAATTGGACCACGGGTCCCAGCACTTCCACATTCCAGTACGCCTCCAAGGAGAAAGACGGCACAAAGATATCGTTGCAATGGTGGACAGCGGAGCCACTACGAAGTTCATCAACAAGCGTTTCATCACGGAGAATCGAGTACGAACGCGGAAATTTAAAGAGCCCATTCCGCTTTACAATATCGATGGAACACTCAATAAAGACGGAAGCATCTCGGAGGTAGCTGTGCTACAGATGCAAATAGGAGAACACATCGAGAAGACGGTGTTCACGGTCACGGACATAGGTCCCGAAGATGTGATCATTGGGTTGGATTGGCTGCGAGAGCACAACCCCGAGATCGATTGGGAGTTAGGCTCCCTAAAATTATCACGATGCCCTGAGACGTGCAGTGCCAGGAAGACTGGCCAAATGGAGCAAGCGGCGACTGCACGTGATACGGGGGTCAGGCCCACGGTGCACAGGCATTCGCCGAAGTCCAAACGGTCGGTCATAGGTGCCTGCCGGAGTAAGGTGCTCCCGGACTTCGAACCCGAAGAAGATCCGGCGGAAGTAGAGTGGGATGAGGCCGATTTGATCGAAGCTTGGGAGCAAGGCATCACGCTTCCCGGCGCCCCTCAGCTGTTTGTCGCAGCCGGGCATATGTACTCCCAGCTGTTCGCTGAGGAGGAGATCAAAAAGAAGGTCATCAAGACCGCCGAGGAGTCGGTACCTAAACAGTACCACGAGTTCCTGAATGTCTTCTCCAAGGAAGCATCAGAACGGCTACCCGAAAGGAAGCCGTACGATCATGCAATCGAACCCGTGCCAGGCTATTCAATGTTCCATTTGAAGGTATACCCATTGTCGAACAACGAGCAGGAGGAACTGGACAAGTTCCTAAAGGAGCAACTAGCGAAGGGCTACATACGGGAGTCGAAGTCGCCAATCTCGTCCCCCTTTTTTTTCATCAAAAAGAAAGAAGGGACGCTCCGACCCGTACAGGACTACCGCCGATTGAATGCGATCACGGTCAAGAATCGTTATCCATTGCCGCTGATCGCTGAAATGGTGGATAAGCTCTGCGGCGCTACGCTCTTCACGAAGTTCGATGTCCGATGGGGATACAACAACGTCCGGATTAAAGCCGGTGACAAATGGAAGGCGGCCTTTGTGACTAACTGGGGGCTGTACGAGCCCCTGGTGATGTTCTTCGGTCTCACCAACTCCCCCGCGACCTTCCAGGCAATGATGAATGAGATCTTCCACGATCTCATCGTCGGTGGCAAAATCCTCGTGTACCTGGATGACATACTCATCTTCTCCACCAACAAAGAGGAGCATGAAAAGGTCACACGCGAGGTTCTACGCCGCCTTCAGGATAACGATCTGTTCCTGAAGCCTGAAAAGTGCGAATGGGATGTTCCCAAGGTCGCCTATGTCGGCTACGTGTTCGGTGGCGATGAGGTGGCGATGGATCCCGCAAAACTAAAAGGAATTAATGAGTGGCCGGTACCCCAGAACAAGAAAGATGTTCAGAAGTTCCGGGGGTTCTCCAACTTCTACCGCCGCTTCATTAAGGATTTCGCTAAGATCTCGCGACCACTCGACCGACTCACAGGGAACGACCCATGGCATTGGGGTGAAGAAGAACAACACGCCTTCGATGAGCTCAAACGGCTCTTCGCGACGACTCCCGTCTTAGCGCTGTATGACCCTAATCGAGAAATGCGCATTGAGGTCGACGCTTCGGGTTACGCCACTGGCGGCGTGTTGATGCAGAAGCAGGACAACGGCAAATGGCACCCTATCGCCTTCAGATCTCACGCTATGGACCCTGCCCAGCGTAACTACGAGATCTACGATAAGGAGATGCTCGCGATCATTGAGGCACTAGACGATTGGCGCCACTATCTCGAGGGGTTACCCAATCAGTTCGAGATCGTAACCGATCATAAGAACCTCGAATACTGGTGTACCTCCCAGCATCTCACGCGTCGTCAAGCACGATGGTCGCTGTTCCTGGCTCGCTTTGACTTCCGCATCACGCACAAGGCCGGAACGTCGAATGGGAAGGCTGATGCCCTGTCACGTTGATCAGACCATCAGATCGGCGATGAGGACGATAACACCGATCAGGTGGTTCTCAAGCCGGAGCGCTTCTGCATCGCCTCCACCAGGTGTGGTCATGCCTCGGTGACGGCCAATCAGTCGCTTCTGAAACGCATCAGGGAATGTTCGGAGAAGGATCGGGAGGTGGCCGAGGCCCTTGAAAAGGTGCAGGACCTCGGGCCGCCCCGGCTGCAAAGGGGTTTTGAGGAGTGGAATGCCGAACAGGGGCTTCTGTTGTTCCGTGGATGCGTATATGTCCCAAAGAACGCAGAGCTCCGGCGGGATATAGTCAAAATCCACCATGACTCGCTGATCGCCGGTCATGGCGGTCGTGCCAAAACCCTGGAGCTCATGTCACGGAACTACTGGTGGCCAGGGATGTCCAAATTCGTCAATGAGTACGTAAGCACCTGTGACGTGTGCAACCGTACCAAGACATTTCCAGCCAAGCCCCAGGGTCCGCTGAAGCCGAACAAGATCCCCGAGCGCCCATGGCAGATCATCACGACCGATATGATCGTCGGCTTGCCAAAGTCTGATGGATTCGACTCGATCCTGGTCACCGCCGACCGCTTTACCAAGCAGGTCCACTTCTCGGCCTGTCATGAGACCCTGACGGCAGAAGGTGCAGCAGACCTGTACATCCGCGATGTGTTCAAGCATCATGGGGCCCTGGCCAAGGTCATATCAGACTGAGGTCCCCAGTTTGCTTCAAAGTATCTCCACGCAGTGTACAAGGGACTAGGGATCAAGCCGGCGCTGTTCACAGTGTTCCACCCCCAGACAGACGGCCAGACTGAGCACTAGAACCAGGAGATCGAGCAGTACTTGCGTGCTTTCACAAGCCACCGGCAGGATGATTGGGCAAAGCAGTTGCCGCTCGCGGAATTCGCACTGAACAACCGAGTTCACTCCGCGACCGGGCACTCCCCTTTCTACCTGCATCAGGGGTACAATCCTGAGATCCAGGTTCGGATCAATCCGATGTCCACGATGCCCGCTACTGCCGACCGGCTTAAGATTCTAAAGGAGATTTGCGACGATGCGCACTCTGCGCTCAAGCTGTCAGCCGAGCGTATGAAGGTGTACTACGACAAGCACATGCAGGAGGCACCGGTCTTCGTGCCGGGGGATAAGGTCTGGCTTGATGCCCGGAACCTTAAGCTGAAACAGCCGAGCAAGAAGCTCAGTCCCAAGCGCCTTGGACCTTATGCCGTGCGGCGAAGGCTCGGAGACTTGGATTACGAATTAGTCCTGCCGAAATCGGTGCCGGTGCACCCGGTGTTCCATGTCTCCTTGCTTAGCAAGTACATGTGTAGTGACATCCCGGGCCGGGAGCCGGAGGAGCCGCCTGCGATCGAGGTTGAGGGCAACGAGGAGTACGAGGTTGAGCGGATCAAGGATCCGTGGATCTTCCGGCGTCAGCTGCAGTACCTCGTCAAGTGGAAAGGTTATGACGATTCGCATATGTCATGGGAACCGGCGCGCAATGTTGCCAATGCGCCAGCCCTCATAGCCGACTTCCACCGGAAGAATCCAAACGCCCCTCGCCGCCTCAATGCTGCTATCTTTGGTGGTCTCAACTTCCAGCCAATGCCTTCGCCGCTGACTGAAGCACGATGCCGCTCCGGGTGGGAGATGGGCAAGGGTGCCTCACATGAGGTCATGCGCCGTTGAGGGGGGGGGTAATGTCATGAGTTGGTACGGCATCTAGCCGTTTTTAATTTTTTTCCTTTTCGCGGGCTCGAACCCGCGACCTCTGTACTATACGCTCGAATGGACAAGTCCTTATCTACTGCACAATTAGATTAGATGGGGTGGCAGTGCACGGCACAGCTCGGGCTCCGCTGACACAGCCTCTCTGACTCACTGGCCCCCGGGGCTGCGTCAGCATGCTGTGCACGGACCAGCTGCACACGGACCAGTGCGCACAGCCTGCCCTTATCTTCCCCTGTATATAAGCCGGCCTCTGCTGCCCTAGGGACCTCAGTTTTGACCTCTTGTCCCTAGGTCAGTAAGCCCTCCCTTGTATTCCTTTCTGACCTTACTAACTAATGCATTTACTTGTCCCTAGCCTTAGGTTTGAGCGTAAGCTCACCATCGCTTTGGTGAGACCCAGTCGAACACCCCCAGCATTTAGGTTTGTTCCTGTCGCTTGACCTCAAGTTGCGACACCGGCCCTCGGGGCTGCGTCAGCACGCTGTGCACGGACCAGCTACGCACGGACCAGTACGCACAGCCTGCCCTTATCTCCCCATGTATATAAGCCAGCCTCTGCTGCCCTAGAGACCTCAGTTTCGACCTCTTGTTCCTAGGTCAGTACGCCTCTCATGTATTCTCCTTCTTACTTAACTAACTAATACATTTCTTGTCCCTAGCCTTAGGTTTGAGTGCTGCTCACCATCGCTTCGGTGAGAACCAGTTGAACGCCCCCAGCTTTCTTTAGGTTTTCCCTGTCGCTTGACCTCAAGTCGCGACACGCTCACAGAGACCGCAGAAAAAACCAGCCACTCTGAGACCCCATTTGCATCATCCGCGAGTCCACTACCATATCATTTTCGAGAAAGTGTGCAAGCCTATATATAATGTAACTTTGCTCAAAGACATTTTCGCCATTTTGATAGACGCATTGTCAGGTGAGTTCAAGCAATCTTGCCGTCGCCGTTTGCACAGACTCACACTGTCACAGTTTCCCTAATTTTACCTAATTTTACCGCTATTTCTGCGGACATATCAAAGGGTATAGGGACTTATCCATACTTATCCGTCCGCATATGGGTACAGCTGCATATCTAAGGGGTTATCCGCTTAAATAAGCGACACATGATCTTGTTCTGGACACATCAGGCTGGACTCTGATGCCGGACCTTTTCTAGATAGAAACCAGACTCCTTCTGGACCATGACATCATTCTGACATCATAGGTAGGAGCTAGGCTCAGGCACTAGGCCATAGGCCGGTCAATTCTAGACCCTAGGCCCAGGGCAGGGCAGGGCCAGACTATGACATCATATATGACATCATAGAGCACATGATACTTAGTAATCCTTACCCAGCTAGGTACCAGGGGTCCATTACCGGTCCCTGGGGGGTTTTCCCTCATGTATATAAAGCAGCATCCTGGGGCACCCTGTCCCCCAGTTCTATTCGACTTCGTTGT